CAAGAACAACTCAACACAAACAATGTAAAAAGTCTGGACCAATTCCTTAGTTGATAACACAGAAAATACAACTCAAAATGTACTTCTTTCAAGAGGAGCCGACGGGATCCTGGGAGAAATATATCTGTTCTTATGTCCAAGCCAGCTGTAAGTCACAACTGGTTTCCAGCGAGAACTCTCCAGGCAAGGGATATTTTCTAAGAATTTTTCCAGGAAGTAAAAGTTTCCTAACTAAAAAAAAATTTTTTTAAAAGCCTTTTGACCTTTTTTTTTTTAAAAAAAAAGACCTTTGCCAGGAATAATTTTTTTAAAAGAAGGAAGGGCGCCACATTTGCTTGTGAAATTGTCAACAATGTAGCTCAAAATCCCTTTCCCAGGAAAAAATTCGTACAAGAACAGTTATTTAGAAGAACAGACCTCGTCGGCTCCTCCTGTTCTTTCTAGACAGAAGTGCTTGGAAGCGTGTTACCTCTCGAGTAAAAGTGATATCATGTGCACTTTAGGTGAGAGAAAATAAAAGCAAGCAAATAAAAATGGTTTACCTGAATTTGTGCATAATAACCATTCTTCTTTGGTGCAAGTGAAGCATTCCAGTTAATTCCTGTCCAGTTGAAAAGTTCACATTGCAGAAAGGTTTGGTTCACAAATACAACATTCAGTGAAAAACATCGTTCGTTCAACACGCAGTTGACCCAGCACTCCACTTCATTCTTCGTTGTCACCTTTGAAAGAAAACTTTCACTCTTCTGCAAGATATTTCCTTCAGAAACTTTCACAATGTTCCCAAACTGGAAAAGGCCTTGTTGTTTCATGATTTCTGAAGTTTTCGCGATTTGTAAAAATTTAAGAACAATTAAAAAGACCAAGATTTGATGCGGACAGTCCATGACTAAGACAGTTTTGGTGCTCATAAATAACATCTGCACTGGCATTATTTATTAATAACATGTCCTTTGATAAACAGTACGGACCGAGCGCAGCGAGTGGCCATGTAATATATCTGTTTATCATTTAACTAGACGCATAGCTGCGTGAACTCGGGGTTCTTGTTGATAAAAATCTAGTACTGTAGTGAATCCGAAAGATTAATATTCAGCGTAAATTGTTATATCGATAAAGCTTGTACACACTCGTAGTTTCTTTGGTAAGGCTCATTTACACTTGCGAATGTTGCAGTGCATCAAATACGGCTAAGTAATGTATACAGAACGAGAGAGCGCGTTGTAACGGGTGATAAAGATCCGAGCCGAAGGCGAGTTCTCGATGGACTGCGATCTATAGACAGCAAAATAAACTTCACAATAAGACTATAAGTCTTACGATAAATTCATGGTATCTCTCCAAATGCCCTTTCGAAAAACGCACGACATTTTTTAGTGTGACTATACTAGCGAATGGTGATTTGAGCGTATTTAAAGTTAAATAAGTATTTAAAGTTAATGTCTTTCGACAATTTGTGATATACCAATAGCGGGAAAATCAAAATAAATAAATTATAAATTATAAATTATTTTAAGGATATTTGATTTTGTTTTCATTATCTGACCGATTAGTATGTTTATACTAAAATAATTAGACCTCGAGGTCGAGTGGACTCGGCCTCATGGGCTATTAGCTTGTAGTCCACTCGACCTCGAGGTCTAATTGTTAAATATTTGTTCCTGTAACGGCTGCGAGAGGAGACTATTTTTATTGTGGTTTATGAATATCAACTTCCCTTGAAGAAATGAGATTTTTGCAAATGGGTTTTCTTTACGAATTCCATGTCGACGGTATCACGAATACGTGCTTCTTTTTGCAGTTCAACGGGATCTTCACGTTTAGCCTTTGACATTTTGCGCAGTCGTAAAAAAACTAGTCCCAGACCACACACGATATGGCCAAAAAAATACATTGACCTACAAGAAATAGCTTTATTTAATGTATTATAAAACTTTCCAGGATCACGTGACCAACACATCAAACGTAACAATTCTGCCATTTTAACGGCACGTAAAACCGCAATCAAGGAATACTAATTTGTCAGAAATAATTTCGATTGGAATAGCCCCTTTGCAGCTGGGGGTCACGTGATCACACTCACAGCTATCAAAAAATGATGTTCAGAAATGGAAAGAGCAGGTTTTTGTTGGTAAAATGTCAAAGTCTCAAGTCTAAGTACTTCAAAAATGGCAGCAAATGTAAAGTATTAATTTTTCTAAAGAAACGTATGGGAAAATAGTTGTGTTTTTCCATATGTTTCTTTAGAAAAAAAAAGATGTTATATTTGCTATCAATTTTGAAATATTCAGTGTTGAGACTTGAAGCTATGCCTTCTTACTTATTTTGGTCCTCTCTGTTCATTTCTGAACATCATTTTTTGATAGCTGAAGGTAGGTGTGGTCACGTGACCCCCAGCTGCAAAGGGCCTATTTATAGACTTAAAGGACCACATGCATCCAAGAGCCTTTGCGCGATTTCCTCACATGCGAAAATTCGCCATCTTTGATTTTGAACCAGTCATAAATCACCTTTCAGCAAGTGATCATTTGTAAATCAAACGAAACGATCGCAAAAGCTCTTGCATGCACATGGGCCTTTACAATTGATAAATAAATAAATTAAATATACGAAGGAAGAAGCCCTTACCTCCAAAATTGGATTCCAAGGTCAAATCGAAGCAGAGGAAATGGAATGATGCAATAAGTRAGCAACACAGAGTTAACAAATATCAGCAATATCGACAGACACTTCTGACCAATTGGAGACAAGTCTAGGTACACGTGACCATAAGTGCGTCTTACCTAAAATRAAAAGAAGTCATTGCTTCCTTTGTAGTCAAACTTTCTTGTTCACAAGAAAATAATGTTCACCAAYCATATTTCATTRTGCGCTCTYGTGCATTCTTCATGACAAATAAAGTATATAGCTATTTCAAAAAAGGTTGTCGGATAAAATGGCGAATGTCAATGTTCGAACGGCGATTGCTCGACCGAAAGTAGCCATGTGTTTTGCTAGTTGAAAGGAAATAACAACTAATTTGTACTGCAAGATGGTATATGGTAAACATTGGCTCCATTTAATCTCCATTTCTATGTAAGGTGAATCCAAAAAGTGAAATTTTGTTTATCAAAACAGTGTAACCATAGTCCCTTTCGGTCGTGCAATCTCCCTTCGACAATCGACGTTCGCCGTTCTCCCCGACAACGTTTTTTGAAATAGCTGTATCTTTAGAGAAACAATGTACAGCCAACGAAAAAAGGTCTAGACAATAAGGTGGGGACTAAACCCAAGACTCTCCTGTTTGCAAGACCACTGAACAACTGAGAATCTACATGAYTATTTATTGTCCAATGTTGAGTGTGCATAAGCAATGAAATCCATCAGTAACTTATAAGACCAGGACCAGGGGCAGATCCAGTATTTTGCCAAGGGCACCATAATTGAATGAAGTCATATATAAAAAAACACGTCATAAATATATAACTAAAAAATTACAATCAGATTCTTTTAAAAAAATCTGGTAGTTAATCATCCACCGGCCTCCCAACCCAACCAACTGGAAGATCGACGCGTATCTATCACTCACAGCTTTTGAAAATTCATGACAAAGGAAGCACGAGGTGCCAATCAAGAAATAKCCAGGATACAAGCCATGCCACAGTACAGACGCTGTTACCGTCAAAGCACCCTTCTGTGAAGGAACTCGCTCGTGGACTATTCTGTTGATAAATACGTAAATCAGTCATAAGATAGCTAGAGAGATAAACTAAAATCTGCCCTCTTTTGTGTAACTAAAGTTTGTATTGGTCTTTATGATAGAGTAGCAATAGCCCCGTTCTCAAGCTACCATCTTCATTGACGTGACGTCAAAACGTTTGCTTACAACATTGGATTTGTTCGTAATGACTTCCACAATTTTATGTGGGCAAACTGTAATTGGGAATGTGGTCTTTTTACCTTCGTAACCATTTAGACGTTGCAATGTTCCAGCCCTCAACAACCATTTTAAGGGAGGTCGGGAACTAAATTTAAACATAATGAACTCATAAAAGATGTAAATGGTAGATTCTACTAGTGTTTAGTACAACAAATAGTATTCAACGGTTTTTGTCGCACCTCTACGTTGTAGCAATTGATCAGACTTGCACTTTCCCACAATTCATTGCCTTTCTCGTCAAAGCCGCTGAATCCCATTCCACAGCTAATGACAGCCATCTCACCTGTCAATCAGTCAATCAATCAATCAATCAATCACAGAATCAAATAATCAACCAATCAAGAAATTACTCAATCNGTTGCAATGTTCCAGCCCTCAACAACCATTTTAAGGGAGGTCGGGAACTAAATTTAAACATAATGAACTCATAAAAGATGTAAATGGTAGATTCTACTAGCATTTAGTGCAACAAATAGTATTCAACGGTTTTCGTCGCACCTCTACGTTGTAGCAATTGATCAGACTTGCATTTTCCCACAATTCATTGCCTTTCTCGTCAAAGCCGCTGAATCCCATTCCACAGCTAATGACAGCCATCTCACCTGTCAATCAGTCAATCAATCAAACAACCCATCAACTGATTGATTAATCATTGCACATCAATATATCGATCAAACCAATCGATCAAATGCTTAATCAATCATCCTATCAACATATAGATCGATCAATCAATCAATCAATCAATCAATCAATCAATCAATCACAGAATCAAATAATCAATCAATCAAGAAATTACTCAATCAATCATCTCATCAACATATCGATTGATCGATCAACCATCTCACCAGTCAAGCAGGTATGTTTTATTCGTGAAATTACCATGAAATTCAACAAGATAACCTAAAAAGACTTACCGAGTAGAAAAGCCGTGTAGTACTTCAGCCTTGCGATGAACATGCTTACCCAAGCATACAGGCATCGTGAGAAAAATGGGGTATTCGCGATAAAAGTTGGATCTTGAAATAAAATGATGCGTTTTCTTTGAAACGGATTTAAATAAGTTTTCCATCAAGGAAATGAACAATTTCAACTTTGCTAAGAAAACCAAACATCGTGAACGAGCCTCCACAAATAACGGATTATATTTAAATTAAACGCATGGGATAGCGATGTACAGAAATAAGTAATTACATTTGAATAAGACACATGGGGGATACGACGTCCGTGCATTCATGTTAAAAAGTACCTCCGTTTCTCGCGAGTGGGAATGTGGGACCCAAAAACGCAGTTCCAAGCATGGAAAATATAAGAGGCAGTGTTCTTTTCGTAAGACCATTCTGTTGATAAATCAAAATTCATCAAGACCAAAAATGTCATACTGCATAATACGTTGAAATCATTAAACGAAAACAAAACGTTCTCAGTACTCACAATTGGAGCGGGTTCACGATAATTCCCCTACAAGGAATAATCCAAAAAGATTCACAATTAGAAATAATCAAAACAAAGACGACATTAAAGTCAGGTACCCAAATTGATCGTTTTCAATCATTCCCATGAGATTCAAAAGATAAGAGACCGGCGGCCATGTTGGAGGAATGAACAATATATGATAACAAAAAAAATCCTTCATTGAAGTTCCTCCAAGATGGCCGCTGTGACGTATAGCGTTCTGTAAAAGAAAGTTTCGACTTTCATCTGACTTTTGTAATACAAAGAAAAAGAATGCATTTTGTCTGTATCAAGCTTTAGTGGAAGTACCTTGGGGTCTGCGAGAGCTCTTTGCGYGTCTTTTCCTTCAATGAAGTCGATGTATTCGCGATATGTGTAAGACGGTCCGACGAGAAAAGAGCTGAAGTGAAACATGTATCCAAAATATTCCAGTGGATTTGGGAATATCCTGAGAGAAAGGATAAGTAGATGAGATTACACTACATTTCTTTTCCTGTTTTTATTTCTTTTGTCTTTTTTTAAACAGGACGTCTTCGAAAACAAAGATATTAATGTAAGGACCGCATGGCACTATGGKATACATGATATAGAATTAAAGGAAAGTTATAGTACTTAGAAGAASGTTATTCCGGGAGAAAGACCCCTGGAAATAAATTCGGAAAAATTAATTCCCGACCTCAATGGGATATCATATCGTCTTTAAAGGTCTACTTGGACAAAAATTGCGAAACATTAGAAAGGACTTGGAAATCAAATAGACCTATCCATATGGGTCTAATAATCATGAAGCAACAGCTTTCAAAAAGATATTGATACAAATCCTTAATAATTTGGGCAAAAAATGTTGGAGTAGATGACGTCATTTACTCCATCCTTTTGTTCTTCCACCTTTTGAATCAAAATTTCTCAGATGTGGGATAATTCCAAAACAAATATTTTCCCGCAATTGCTTTTAATAGATATCAATGAGTCATATATTTGTATTGCTTGAAGTTTTGAAATAAGACCATTTTAATGCAAGTAGCACTTTAAAAACAGGTGCACACTACTGTATCATATGCAAGTTACATGTGATATTTGGTACATGCATATATCTTACTTGATGCATTGTGCTTGCTGCCAATCATTCAAGTCCTTTGCGTCTCTTCTCACACCTTTGGAAAAGTATAATTATTAAGAAAWTTATGCAATACACATATATAATTCTGTCCAGTGGCAGATCCGGGRGGRTTGGGTTAATTGGGTGCACCATACTGCAGGTCTTCACTGTAATGCTTACCATCGTGAAAGCAAAATGCAACAAATGTGAATTTTTGAACGAGTACCATAAGTCGCCTAGAATGACAAGAATGAATATATMACATTAGGTGATGATGCATAATTCTTATAAATTACAATGTAGCTGTGTTGATAGATATTCTCAAATAATGGTTGCAAATATGCTTGGATGCCATTGCATTTCAAGTATGGCACACCATGGCA